AGAGAACAGGGTGCTCAGCAGTTTGAACTGTTGAGACAGCAGCAGGCTGCTGCTGGTGGGTCGATGCACTCGCGTCGAACCGAGACCTTGATGATTGACATCTCTAAGTATAGGGAAGTCGAAGAGGACTCCCTCTTGAGATGGTTCGTCGAACTGGATGACGCCATAAGGGCGCGTCGCATCGACGACGGGGATATGCAAGTTGCATTTGCCCAGTCAATTCTGGCAGGACGTGCCAAGACTTGGGCACTGGGGCTCAAGTTGCACGACCCATATGCGTTTGGGTCGTTGGAAGTCTTCAAGTCGCGGCTCAGACAAACGTTTGAACCGCCTAGATCTGAGTTCAGAGCTCGAACTGAGCTCTTGAAGCTCAAGCAAGGTAAGCGTGATGTGCACGCTTACGCGCAACATATACGACATCTTACGAGTTGTATAAGTTCCAATCCGGTGGATGAACACACGTTGGTTTCGGTGTTCATGCAGGGTCTTGCGGATGGTCCCGTCAAGACTCACCTGTTCCGACTTGAACTGGATTCACAAGAACAAGCCATTTCCATTGCGGAACAGGAAGACTTCAGTCTGATACAGGCTCGCGCCAGCTCGACATCATATCGTCCACCGAGACGATATGACAACGGAGGTCCAGAGCCGATGGAACTCTGTTATGTAGAGAGCGAGAAGGCTCACTCTACATACTACAAGAAGTTGCAGAATGCAACAGATGTCAAAAGACAGGACACTACGCTTACGAGTGTAGTGCCCCTCGTCCAGTGTCTCGCAGCACTGGGCGTAGTGACCGTCCATCTCTGAGAAAGGGGCAGGGACGAGGGTCCGCTGTTGGTGCAAAGACGCAACAACGGGATGGACCGTCAAAAAACGGACAGGATCAGTAGGTGCGGAGCACCCTACTGGTCCAGCAACGTCAAGAGAATTTGTAGGCCTCTTGATGAAGGTTGCTCCTAACACACAAACGTTGTGCGTTGCTGCTCTAGGTAATGAGGTCTCACTCATTACCTTGAAACTCGAAGTGACGAATAAGTTGTCCCTTCGAGCTCTAGTCGATTGTGGGGCGTCCAACAATTTTGTGCAACGCCAATCGCTAGAAGACGGTCACTTTAAGTTCAGTGAATGTGACACACCTCCTACGAGGATGACGGTACGTCTTGCGACAGGCGCATCCGTAACCTTCATGAAGCGTATAGTGAAGATCCACTATACGCTAGAAGATACCCAATATGACGATGACTTTATCGTATTGGATTCGGATGACAAATTTGATGTCATCCTTGGAATACTGTGGCTCAGAAGGTACGAACCACGGGTAAACTGGAAACATCGAACAGTAACGATGCCTGCCGCTTGTTCATCAGATGGCCATCTGATGAACGTTTTGGAGCGTCCACAAGCGTGTGGATGTACTATGATTGAGTGCGATGGAATCACTTGTGGTACGGTCGTTAGTACGACTGCACAAACCCTTAGTGTAACAAACGGTTACACTTCGGAGCAAAGTTCCTGCGTCTGTGAGGAAACACAGGCTGCGCCGAAGGTCCACCACTCGAATAAGTCGAGTGGACCGGGACAAAGATGTATCCCTAGCGGGGAACATCTAGAAGAGAAACGATCGATCGCTCAGGTAAGCGAAACGATAATCCTAGATCGACTGGAGAGTCTTTCGTAGAGGATCTCGCTGTGGTTGCGCAACCCCAGCTAGAGGAAGTTAAGGGAATAAGTCCCGATATTACAAATACGGCGGAAACAAGTTCCCCGAAACCCGAGAGAATAAGTCCCCGGGAAGCCGAAGGAATAAGTCCTTCGAAGACTGAGGAAATAAGTCCCCAGGAAATGACAGAGAAATTGAATGTCATAGTCAATAACGGGTCAAGTGTAGGCGCTTATACACTTGATCTGATTGCACCTCCGAAGTTGACTTCGGAGATCACTCAGTTGCCAACGCTCGAACATAAAAGGTTCTTGCGTGATCTGCGTAGTGGCAAAGTCAAGCAGATCTGCGTACTCGTCGCTGACGACGAGTGTGTAGCCGACATAAGGTCAGCAACAGTGTTCGCTGAGAACGAGAGACTTCTCAGTAGTTCATCGATGGACGAGAGTGTCCTCGATGAAAAGACACGAGTTGAGCGATATGACTCCCAATCGTGGGAATCGCTCAAGACAAATCCTCTCTATGATGATTTGGTTGAATTCAAGGATGTATTCCCTAGAACTCTTCCGTGCGAGTTACCGAAGGATAAAGGTACTCGACACGAGGTCGACCTTAAACCAGGCTCGAAGTACTGTGTCATGAAGCAGTGGCCACTGCCTCGTGAACAAGTACTTGCGATCGACAAGTTTTTTGTCGATCGTTTCGCTGCGGGCCATGTGAGGGAATCGACTTCCCCACATAGCTCTCCGACCTTCTGTGTGCGAAAAGCAACAGGAGGGTGGCGGATAGTGCATGCATTTAACAAGTTGAATGCTGCAACGGTACCGGCTCAGACGCCGATACCGAGGAAGGACGTAATCATTGATGGTATGTCAAAGAGTACCATCTTTTCGTCCATGGATTTGATGGATGGCTTCTATCAAATCCTTATGAGAGAACGGGATATACCCTATACTGCAGTTAGCACGCCTAGCGGCATGCTCTGGGAATGGCTAGTAATGCCACAAGGGCTAGTAATGCCCCTGCCACGTTCAACAGATGTGTATCACATCTGTTGGGACCAGTACGAGAATTCGCGCCAAGTTATTTCGATGACGTATTCATCCATAGTCGGGCTATGGATGGAAAGTCGGATGTTGAGGTTCACAGGTACCACGTCCGACAGGTTCTTACAATCATGCGAAAGCATCAATTGTATTCAAACCTCGAGAAGTGTACATTTGCAGCAAGCGAAATACCACTTCTTGGGTGCATCGTTGGTAAGAACGGTGTACGTCCTGATCCCGAAAAGATCAAGGCGATCACCGACTGGCCTGTGCCGGTTGATGTCAAAGGTATTCGAAAATTCCTTGGGCTAGCGGCGTATTTGCATAAGTATTCACGCAATTACGCCGAGATGACTGTGCACCTCTCTCGTTTGTTGAAAAGGAACGAGAGGTGATTATGGAATGCTGAATGTCAGCGCTCCTTTGATGGTATCAAGCAGAGCTTGATACGATTCCCAGTCCTAGCAATAGACGATCAGGACAGTCCATTTCATGTGGTCTGTGATGCCAGCGATTTCGCAATCGGCTGTTCATTAATGCAGAAGATCTTGAAGGCGTTGAACGCGTCGTCTGCTATCAGTCGCGTCAGCTGCAACCAGATGAGCGGAACTATCCAGTGCATGACAAGGAACTCCTTGCCATGAAGTATGCACTCGCGAAGTTCAGAGTCTATCTATTAGGAGATAGACCCTTCGTTGTTTACACTGACCATGCATCATTACGCACGGCAGTGAACAGCCCGCACCTTTCATAACGAATGGCGCGGTGGTTGTCATTCTTTGCAGAACGCAACTTCACGGTAGAGTACAAACCAGGACGACTTAATGTCGTCGCTGATGCACTCTCACGTCGTCCCGACTTTGAACCGGTCGTGAATTCCAACAGTGAGACAGCCACTGTTGTGGTTATGACGTCCTCAGTACCTTCTTCAACGTTGCATGATGATGTGAGGCGGACGTATGCCCAAGATGGTGAGATTGTGAAGTTGTTGACACATCTCTCACAGCCATCTCGAGAATCGTTGAAACGATTGTCGTCTGTGTACCGATCGGCATCAGATCGATACACTACTCGCAACGGTTTACTGTATTATACAGCCGTTTCTGGTGACACATTACGTGTTGTCATTCCAGATGATACTGATCTGCGTTTGCGGATCATGTTCGAGTATCACGATGCTCCTAGAGGAGGACATCGCGGCCGTGAGAAAACGTATCTCACGGTGAGTCGAGACTTTCACTGGCCCCGCCGTATCAGTTTGTGCACAAGTACGTTCGCGCATGCGAAGTCTGTCAACGAGTGAAGTCAAGTCCTTCACTGCGTGCACTTTTACAGCCTCTACCGGTTCCGGCTGGGTGCTGGGAATCCATCTCAACGGATTTCGTCTTCGGGTTACCCAAAGACGCACGCGGGAATACGGGTATTCTTGTATTTGTTGACAGATTCAGCAAAATGGTACACCTAGTGGCTGTACCAGAGTCAATCACGGCAAGTGGCTGTGCTTGTGTCTTTATTGACACCATCTTCCGACTTCATGGGTTGCCCCGTGAACTCGTATCAGACAGAGATCCACGATTCACTGCTGATTTCTGGCGTTCCGTGTTTAAATCACTCGGAACGCGCTTGAAGATGTCGACATCTGATCATCCAGAGTCAGATGGTCAGACGGAACGAGCCAATCGTGTCCTCGAAGAGATACTTCGAGGATACGTACACTCCTTCAAAAGTTGGAGTGAGTTTTTGCCGATGGTAGAGTTTGCCATCAACAACTCGGTGCATGCGTCCACGACACATACACCGTTTTACGTGAATGGCTTGCGCCATCCGCGTGTACCCACCTTACTAGAGTGTAACTCTGGTTTAAGGGGGGAGGGACTCGCGCGAGCAAAAACCGATTTGGTTCACGCTCATCACGCTCTGACAATGAGGTCATTGCGTTTGATGCCGATATCGATGTAATCGATATCGAAGAAGATGATGCCAGTGAGAGTGCGGAAGCCCTCACTGAAGAAAATGTTGATGTTGCTGTAGTGCGCTCACAGCGCACTGAAGCTAACGAGTCATCAGATGAGTTCATACTGGCTCGTGAAACGGTAGTCCGTTTTGTGCAAGACTCCATCGCCGAAGCGGTGGATAAGCAAAATCAAAACGCTGACAAGAATGGAAGGGCAAACACTCTTTTATTTAATAAAGGTGACTTAGTACTACTGTCTACGGTTAATCTACCAAAGCATGTAGTGACTAACTTGGGTAGCAGTAAACTACTACCCAAGTACATCGGCCCATTTCGTTTATTGAATCGCCTAGGCAACGCATACACGATCGAGTTGCCACGTAAGATGCAAACGCATCCCATGTTTTACGTTGGTCAATTTAAGCCGTACCATCAGTACGCTGTTTCTTCCAATGACGAACGCCCTTGCGCTCAAGCATCTCACAGAGAGCCTTGTGCTCCCGATGGTGCCATCAACAAAGGTCTGAAGAGCAGTTATCTTAGCCCGAGACCGATCAATATCCACACGAGCTACCCTTAGCTCGTTACGCAGAGATGTCAGAGCTCTCTCGTTCTCGAGCTGAGCAAAGGCAAACTCAGCTCGATGCTTCGAGACAGCGTCCGCCAGTTGAAGACGCCTGTACCGATCATGTTCGAGATCGCCGCGTAACCCTTGCGTAACGCAATCAAAGAAGCTCTCGGAGACACACGCTCCCCCTCGATAGCTTGGAGAGCGTCTTCCCTCCTCCTCGACCTCTTTTAGAGGACTCTCGCGGTGGCCAGCGCTATCTGATTGAGCGGCTGTTGAACCACCGCGATGTGAGCGGACGTCGGACGAGTTACCTCGTCCGGTGGCGCGGCTATCCCCCGTCCTGGGATACTTGGGAGCCCCGCTCCCAACTGATGATCGACGTACTGGGTCTGGTCGAGCAGTACGACGCGGCACATCCTGTGCCGCAGAAAGACCGCCAGAAAAATTCTTCCCGGCACGGTCGTAAAGGGATTTCAAGCTGTCAATCCCTTCGTACATCTCACTGGAGATACGTACGCGCCACCACGAGCTATTAGGGAGGTAAGCCTCCTTAGGTGCTCGTGCAGAGTTGTTCACACAACATGGGCACGAGTCTCCCTATGAGAGGCAGGGTAACCCTTTCTCCCTAGACAGACGATGCAGCTTGTAGCGTGCACCTGTCGGGGTTCGCTTTTCGAACTTATCACGAGCTTTGATAAGTTTGTCGTTCTAAACGTCACGACATACATCCTCAAGGTTATGAATGTAGGCGTTCCACGCTTGAAGTAGCGAGGGACCATCACGCTTGTGATTCCCACTGTACCATAGATGTCTCAAGAAAGCATCGATGAAGAATTCATTCTCAGCGAGATAGTTTTTCGCGCTGGGGTCAAGGTGATGGAACCTTGACGAATCGAACAACCGTTTCGATAACGATCACTTGTCGTCGCCGACAAGCGATCCATGACAGACTTTGGAGGCAGCCATGCCTTCTTTTCGGGAGCGAGACACAACACGTTGCGGTCCCGCTCTTCTCGCGACGTGCCGACAGAAGGACTGGCACCTCGTTGCGAAGTGGTGTCCATGGGAGAACCGACACCACTGTTAGCACCCGAGTCTCGCGACCTCGAGCGCCTTCGCTTCGGCGATGGTTTATCTGATTCATCAGATGAACCAAGGATGCTACGACGCATAGCATCATTCATGCCACGCTTGGCAGGCGGCTTGGATTCGATCGCCGTCGATACGCATCCATCTTCCGTATCAGGAGAGTATGAGACTCCGAGCTCATACTCTGTGAAGACATGAGTGTCTTCATGACGAGCGCCTGCATCAACAAGTGACACAGGCTGAGTCGCTTCAGCAACCGGTGAGACATCGGTTGCTGTAATTTCTGCTTCGGCGTCCGCACATAGACGTGCGGACGCGCTCTCGGCGGCCTTGCTCGCGCATCGCATGGGCTTGTTTACCATGCGATGAGATTTTGGAAAGTGGACTCGGACCAACAAGTGCAAACCCTGTCCCAACTGATTTGGGACGAGTATCCATTTAGTCAATCAGTCACTAAAGTGACTGATGGTTAAGGGGGGGTGATGTAACGGGGTGAATCGTTACATAACAATTTATAAGAAATTGTTAATAGAATATAACTATAAGAGTTATATTCTCCAGAATATTGTCATAAGGACAAAGATTCTGTAGCACTTACGAGTAGTTCCTAATTGGTTGATATAGGCCATTATATCAACCAACGAAGACGCGCCACGACAGACGCACGCAATGAGTGGTGAGCAGATAGTTGATGTACACATTTGTATTTAGACATAGTTAGATGAAGATAAATAGTGATTTATTGCAGACATTAACTATTATAAATACGGTTCTACTTTTTACTTTAACCAAGTACTCGCTTCTTCTTACCGTCTTCCTCTGCACGTACGAGTGTACGTGAAGTTCCGAGGCACCGCCTTATTCTGTCATCAGAATAAGTAGCTTGTACTGTCACCAGTACAAGCTTCAGGGTGCCCCGTTACCTCCTTGCGTTCTCGTTGTAAAGCCCTGACAATTGCGGTGCAGCCGCGAAACAGGTGTTTTTAGAGATGTGTAACCTCGCTAGTTCCATCTCGGTCGGTGCCGGGTGGGCCAAAAGTCCGCCGGAGGAGATCCTATAAGGGCTTACATAACTAGTCCAAGTGTATCTAATTTTTCAACCCGTCATTTACATCGAATTTGCATTATAAGTTGCTAGCGCATCGTAACGTGTCGATAAACTCGGTTATAGAAATGGCACTGGAGACGCGGAGCGATCGCCCGGCGCCGCGTCCGGATCGGCCCTGTAAGTGAGGCAGCGTTTAGTTTGTGTTGAGGTGGAAAGGGCGTGTCCGACGGGTTACTGAGTTCATGTGCCGCGAAGCTGAAGAGGCCGGCAAGTCGAGCGTTGCTGTGACTTCGACGCTGCCCGAAGCGACTCAGTCTATTTGCGGCGGACGGGGTTGTAAAGTCCTTAGTACAACCGCTGCCGTTTCTGATGGATTTTGACGTCGGAGTAATGCAGCGGCCTTTATTTTAGCCAGCGAGGTGAAAGGCTTGGCGATATTGAATAAAGCCAGGTTTTTTTGATCTGTCGATATCAAGCACCCATATCGCAGCTAATCATAGGTGTAGCTACTCAGCTTTTGGTGTGGCCAATGGTCCCGCACTTAAAGCACTGGAGTTGCCAACCGACGGCGGGTTTTTTAAGAATGACTAAAACTCCGAGCCAATCAAGCTGAATAATTCACCGCAGGGATTTAGGACAGCATAAGAGCCAAAATGTAAGCTTTTGAGACGTTAAATGTCCGGGACTATGGCGTACAAGTATTAATGGTGTCCCAACACATTGGGAACTGGACTGTGTTTGCTGAAGAACGCCAAACTTTTGCCGATTATATCGAATCGCGATACGATACAAAGGCGGACTCCGTACTCCGTATTTGGTGGATTATATTAGACACTCCAGTCGTGTGTTTATAGGCTTAATATGCGTATATGTTATGCTTATTGTGTCAGCGGTTCACCATGCTCTTGTACAAGACTATTGTAAATTGTAACTACTTCGCCGTTGCTCGATCAAAAACACGGATGGATCAAGTTCGACACCTCGTCGTAGCTCATCGTCTTCACTTTGCACAGGTCGTGTATGCGCTGCCGATACAAATTTGTGCTTCCTTGCAGAGGCTCGCCGGACTGGGCGTCCAGATCGTTCATTGCCTGTTAAAGAACAAAGAGCCGCTAAGCATGTTTCGCAGTGCTGTCGCCTCTCCAGGTCGACTGCCTCTGATTGGGCGCTTTACGAAGTGTTTCTTGTGTATTTAAGGAAGTAGATTGTGGCGAGTGCGTCATTCAACTGTTCGACTGAGTGTTTACATAGGAAAGAGTGAGTGTCTATGTACAATTCTCCTAGATTAATTAATTCCTTCAATTTTAGTAATGTGAAAATAGATGCTCCACAAGTATCAACACAACGTCATTTTCATGTTGTCATTAAGTACGACATCTCCATCCAATCAGCAGCTCGATGTACCTGGTTGGTTGAGAGAGCTCCTGGCCAAGCTTTGCAATTGCTCCAAGCGTCGTCATTACTTGATTCTGTGGAGCGTCAGCAGCTGAGAAACGAATCAAGAATGGTCGCCTCTAAGAAGTCGGTACGGGTGCATTCTCTGTCTTTTGATAGCAGTGCCCATCCGATGGACGAGGATTCGTGTCGAGGAAGGCTTGAACCAGCTCTATCAGCTGGTGTGCCGTATCAACATTTTCCTACGAAGTCGGATGGAAAGAATTCGATAGAGGAGCAATGAGCAGTAGTGTATTAATGATAAACTGTGATGTTTCGCTTGAGCAGAAGAAGTCCTCGGACAACATCAACTCCCGTCTGCAGCTTGTGATGCGCTCGGGTAAAGTCGCTCTGGGCTACAAGCAGACGCTCAAGAACTTGCGCTGCGGCAAGGCCAAGTTGGTGATCATGGCTTCCAACACGCCTCCGCTTCGCAAGTCGGAGGTCGAGTACTACTCGATGCTTGCCAAGACAGGCGTCCACCACTTCTCGGGCACGAACAACGATCTGGGAACAGCTTGCGGTAAATACTTTCGCGTGTCGTGCATGTGTATCCTCGATGCTGGTGACTCGGACATTCTGCGCTCGATGCCGTCGGAGAACTAGTTGCTCCTGGTCTATTGCTGTTCCACGTTAAGCTGATGTTGAATGACATTCTTTGAGGCAATTGTATTTAGTTGCTGCTTGTTTCATGATAAGAAGATGTGAATTTCTCTGGGCAGGTGCAATGACGGATGGTGTTCTTACTCTAGCGCTTAATATGCTCATCATCTACAACGGGGTTGTCTGAAAGGTTCATCCCGAGTGTAAAAATGAAGTTAGTATTGATCTCCTTCTACACTTTCACTCTCACATATCCTGGCGTTTACCTATCCAGCGTCAATGGTACTGTGTCGTCAGGTTACCGTCAGTTCACCTGACGCTATAATTCAGGACCACGATACGCTTCCGGGACGACATCAAAGTCTAAAGGCTCGTAGGATTCGAGCACAACAAGCTTCTCGCTAGTGTTTTCTGCATTCTCAATCGAGTCGAGGACTCGGAAGTACGTGCAGTCACGTCCGTCGCTCGAGCCATAAGGAGGTGTGATGATGTCCAAGACTGCACAGCCAACGTCGTCACCGCCAATGAGCTCGTGCAGATTACCACAAGCCGGCAGCAGCTCGGTCGTATACGGGGCCGTTGCAACTTTATCCACGCACAGCCGCGCCACGTGCTTCTTGTCACTTGATTCCGTGCCCTTCTTGACAAGATCGTACGCCTGAATATGTACCGATCCATACAACACCCGCGAGATAACACTCATGCCGGGATGGTCGTGCAGCGGGATCCGCACGCCTGGAGGCAAGATAAAGATCCTAAATGGCACCCAAAGAAGCTGCTCATGTGACCAGGTCTGTCATCAAAGAACACCAGAAGCAAAAAAGAGCAGTGACCCTTGTACCCGATTGAAAAGGTCTTGTCTTCATAGACGTGCTGATAGTGCACGTGTCTCGAACGCCTGAGCTCACCAGCAGGTGCCTTCAATCGAACTGTCGAGTACACAAGCAAATGTAAACGATCACTAAGTTATCTGTCAGCCCCTTACCAGCTGAGCAACAAGGGTACAAACAAACCCTAGAAAGCGTTACAATTCGCTGCAGTGAGCTCGTCGCAAATAGCTCGAATCGGTGCGATCTGCTCGAGGGTGAGAGCGTGAGGAGCACCCTCATACAAAGACATGGCTTCACTCAGCAACTGACGGATCCGCACGAGCGCCTTCTGTCCAGCTGCCAAGTCCTTGTCGCTTCCAGTAGCGAGGCGCCACACTGCGTTCAAAAAGCTCATTTGACTTGCCCACCACCACGTAGGTAGTCAGTTCCAAGTCGCAGGTATCCTCAATCTGCGACGTGTGACTTGCTGACAGTGGATGACGTTGTCGACCAGCAACTTAAAGCGAACCAAAGTTGCGCGGCTGAGTGAAGCCAAATCATCATGTTGAAGTGCCTGTAATGGCTACATTTGGTCGTTTACGAAGCTACTGGGTGTCGTGCATGTACCTGTAGATCCGATTGCGTTGCAAGACGGAGCGTGCTATGCGCGACTGTTCTCTTGCAAAAAAGGACGTGGCTTCTGCTTGGTTCGATACATGCACCAGCCGTGCAAAGAGCGACGTCCGGTACTGCTCGAGGTCAGTGTTTACGAAGTCATCGCGGTAATAGTGCGATGATGACGCTGTTGATGCCGTGGAGCGTGAACTGCCACGCGAAGTGTCTGCTGTTTCCTTTTCAAGCTGCACACACTGACCGCAGTTGGTCTTTCTGATGGAATTGAGCACGTCTCGGGCTTCACTTAGCAGCATGTCCTCGACGTCGTCTTTCGCCATGGAAACCTTCTCCGTCGACGACAAGTTGGACGTGTAGCCATCGCTACGACTACTAAGGTCATGCACTTGTGTGGAGATCTTGAGTGTGAAGGCTGTAAGAGACCGGTCACTGCCTGGGATATCCACTTCTTCCAGCTCGTTCTCAAGCCGACAGAAAGCATCGGTTCGATCCGCCGAGCTTTGACCAGTGAACCCACTGCCAGCTTCAGCACGGAGCTCATCGATCGACGTCGAGTCTACCTTGGCGATACAAACGCGACAGAAAGAAGCGCGCGTCAAGTGCGATCTTGATGTTGCGTCACGTACAAGAACGTTCTCCTTGAGTCGACATTTCTTGCAGACGTATTGAAAGCTGCACCCTGCACACTCCTGCAGACGACCAATGTCAAAGGCCGAAGAGCTGCCTCGACACACGTCGCAGCAGGATCGAGAAGATCGTCGTTGATATCGTCGAGCCGGCGCAGCAGCAAGTACCTCGGCGAGCTTCTTGGCCCGTGTACAATCGACCGCGTTAGTTACTGCTAGCAGTAGATTCGACATCGCAGGTGTCGAAAAGTACGACAGCGAAGCGTGGTCTATCTCGCCTTGCATGTACACAGCCACTAGATCCTCTTGGAGCTCCTCGAACAAGTAGCAAAGAGACAGCTGCACACGTTTGTGCATGCTTTTGTGTGGATACTCGGGTAGATCTACCGACTGCATGACGTGGTAAGCCAGTCGGTGGTGGGTTCCTTCTGACGTCTGATGTACAAGACCCATCTTGTCGAAGTAGCACAAGTCGCGGTTGCTTGCAATTGATCCTTTGACTGTTGCCCACTTGATTCCAGTAAACGCGTAGGGCTCACACTGTGTACGGCGCTGGACCGAGTAGAGCACGGCGCTCTCAGCAAGTCGAGGGCATGTGATAGCATTCATGAGCAGCATCTCCTCTGTGTTTTGACAGCAAAGTCCCTCCATGATATCGTCAAAACTGCCTCGAAGAGCTCCGATACAGAGCAACGGAGTCGGACCCGACGTCGACCGATGACGACCACGAAAGAGTCGGACGCCGTGTCGCATTTGCAGCTCTTTCCAGGCTGAACGGTTGACTGTGTCGACAGTCTGGTTTACCTTGCTGTATGCTGCAATGGTCTCGGTGAGTACCTTCTCGGCTCGGTCATGGTACCGTTCGAGTTGCGGCAGCGATAATGTTACTGTCGGATGTGCTGCGCGACGACTGCGGAGTGACATGGAAAGCGCTGGCACGGGAACAGGACGGAGCGAGTGCTGCGAAGCTCGAGAGTGGTCGAGGTTTGATCTCGGGATTGCCATCTGAAGGGTAGATACGAGAATGACAAGAAGAGCTGGACGTCCTGGGGGTACTTTGTACTACCCATGTAAGTATCAATGATGTCCGACGATCGTGATATCCACCAGAATCTGGATTTCAATCCGGACGAGTCCGGCGTGGTGACTTGTGACTTTGTAGACTTGATTTCTGGTGGTTGTCAGCACGATTTCGTAGGATGTTTCTACGTGGATCAGGTGCGACCTGAATGCCAAGAGCAACTGGAGTCGGTGATAGCGGTGGCTAGAGCCTCGGATGGTGCTCCGGCGAGAACGCTTGATTGTTGATGGCAAGCATTCAGAAGCACGTACAGGACGTCAACGGGAAGGAACGTCTTTGATACATCTATCCAGCAGCAGGGTCATCTCCCGTCTTCACTTCAACATGAACAGTAGCAGTACCAGGAACGTACAAACGAGATGGGAGCAACAAAGATTGTGGCCCACGTCTGAGCTGCCGCTGTTTCGGCCATTCGATTCGGGTGGGCGGCATTGAAGTCAACCGTGGTCTAGCGTTGATTTGGCGTGCGTGGATAGAATTGCTCTTCAGGTATGATGCATGTCCACTTGTCGCCAGCAAACTGGTCACTGGATTATCATTGCAACCACCAGACGTCGGCTCAGTGTTAGCTGGTGTGCCTCTGGGTCACACTCATGGATGAAGCAAATAAAGAAGCACCAGGTTCATTCACGCTACTTGCTTGCTGCAGCTTCAGTGTGCAATAACCGCTCTCTTGGCAAAGACAACGTCATCATGGACATCCGCCCCATCATGTTCTCAGGGACGCTGAAAGTCCGAGTGTGTCACGTCTTTTGGTATGTGCGCAACTATCGCTAGTCGTGTCTGCTCGAATGCAAAGCACGTTGTTTACTAACTAACCCCCTCGTCGTCCCCTACTGCAGGAAAAAGACACCCGTGCACTTGACAAGCTATCGTCAAGACTATCGCTCCGCGCTGCCAGTGCTGCTGATCCGACGACCGCGAGCTCTAGGCGGCGAGTTTCACGTCCATCTCGACCCGTGTGTTCACCCTGTGCATCTCCTGCCTCTGACCAGAAAAATGGCGTCCAAGCTCGAATTCGCACTCGTGTACGGATGGCAGAGCAAACTCGTGCGTCTACGAGCCCCTGATGTTGCAACGTTTCACCAATGGACAAGTCTTGTACGAACAGCACTAGAGTCTGGACGGCGACCTCTGGTCCCTCGTGTACCTCACGTACCTCGTCAAGATCTCGAGTGTTCGAGTCTCGCGTCCACTCTGAACAGTAGCAACAACAGCTCTTCCAATAGCAGCACAATAGTCGCTCATCAACCGCTACAAGCCGAAGAAGAAGTGGCCAGCGAAACAAAAGAAGCTCGTACGTACAAGTATCGCAACAATGACGACGTCGTCTCCAACTGGAAAGACCGCAACGAGTCGTTTGGGATACAGGACACGATGGTCTGTCACTGCGACTCGAGAGTCTGTGTAAAAAACGACTTGAACCCCATCTCTATTGCCGACCTATGCAGTGCAGCCACTGGAAGCTACAGCTGCAATCGACGCGAACGAGATGGCTACGTAAACAGACTGAACGATTTCGTGTGGTCGTCGCGTCGTGCGAGCGCTTTGTTCGCGGAACCTTCCACGGAAATTTCCTGGATGCATCCACATGACTTCCGGACTTTCAGCTTGTCGCATTTAGCAGCTGTATCGATTTCGACAGGGGATCGATGACGCACGGTCGTCACAACCACGAATTCCAAAAAAGCTTTTTTTCCCCGAGCCAGTGGTGATGGAGCTGCTGGAAGCGCGTGTGCAGTTTATACGCGCAGGAGCTCGCTCGGCACGCTCTGTGTCGAAAGTGTACTTGAATCCGAGTGACATGACGCAGTTTGGAATCGAATCCGGTGTCTATGTGAAGCTCTACACGTTTGACAAGAACAACAAATGTGCACCCAAAAAGCTGCTATTGTGTGGACTGTCGTGGCCTATGGACAAGATCAAGCGACGTGGTGTCGGTCTGAGCTCCATGTGGGAAGAGACAGTAGCTGAGAAGCAGATTGAGATGGTGACTGTAGAACTTCTGCAAAGCGCCATATCCACAGCCAAAAGTTTAGTGCTGCAGGTGGTGGCCAAGGCCTCGACAGGTGAACGAAAGCTCTCGGAGAAGGAGCGTACGCTATTGACGCGATGCATTGCCGCAATGATTGATGGAGCTCTCGTGCACCAAGAAGTGTTGCTTTCGCTGCCGGTACATGGGGTCAACACTGTGTTTCGTGTACTTACGGTTGATGGACAGGAGAGAGACCAAGAGCAGTGTATCGTGAAGGTCATGGCAGCGAAAACAGCGCTTACAATTTTGTGGGAGAAGAAGAAGGACGACGTTGCGGCACTAGAAGCACACACAGGCAGTAGTTCTACTGATGCGATGACTGGAGCAAAGCATCAGAATGGGTTTGCAGCCATTGGTGGACTCGAGGAAGAGCTGAAGGCTGTTCGAGAAGTGGTGGAACAATCGCTGACGCACCCAGAGACATTTGAACGATTTGGTTTGCCTGCCCCGAAAGGTGTCTTGTTGTTCGGACCGCCTGGTACAGGAAAGACATTGATTGCAAGGGCCCTAGCACGGGAGTTGAGTGCGCGCGTGTTTACGATCAACGGACCCGAAGTCGTGAGCAAGTTCGTAGGCGAGAGTGAAGCGAACTTACGTGCCGTGTTTGCACAGGCTGCGAAAGAAGCGCCGTCGCTTGTGTTTATTGATGAGTTGGATGCTATTTGCCCAAAGCGTGACGCCCGTGTGGGCGATATGGAACGGCGTTTGGTAGCTACTTTATTGACGCTGATGGACGGATTGCGTTCCTCCCGTCAAGTTGTTGTGCTAGGTGCTACCAACAGACCCAACGCTCTCGATCCCGCAGTGAGAAGACCTGGCCGTTTCGATCGCGAAGTTGAGATCGGCATCCCAAAAGCCACCGACCGGCTGGCGATTCTGCGTGTAGCGCTGAGGCGGCTGCCACACAAGCTTACCAATGCTGAGCTGCAAGAATTGAGCTCAAGCGCACATGGGTACGTTGGGGCGGACCTCAGCGCTCTGTGCAAAGAAGCCGCACTGTTAGCACTGCACCGCGCATATGCGACCAGTGCTGAATCGAGTAGAGCGGCTTTAGCCGACAGTAGCTCCTTGCTTCCCTTCGAAGTCACGCAGAGTGACCTCAAGGTGGCAATGCAAGGGATCCGACCGAGCGCTTTGCGTGAGATCTCCATCGATGTGCCCCGTGTGCTGTGGAGTGACATCGGTGGGCAAGATGTGCTCAAGCAATGCCTTCGGGAGGCAGTGGAGTGGCCGTTGCAGCACCCGGAAGCTTTCACGCGTATGGGGATTCGCCCTCCGAAAGGGGTGCTCCTGTACGGTCCTCCGGGTTGTAGTAAGACGCTGGCAGCAAAGGCGTTGGCTACCGAGAGCAAGATGAACTTCATCGCCATCAAAGGCCCCGAGCTCTTCAGCAAATGGGTCGGTGAATCCGAGCAACAAGTCCGTGAGGTGTTTCGAAAAGCACGCGCTGCGTCACCAACCGTGGTCTTTTTCGACGAGATCGATGCACTTGCTAGTACCCGTGGCTCAGGGGGCAGTAGTGGCGCCTCCGACCGCGTGCTGAGCCAGCTACTGACTGAGCTGGACGGACTGGAGCCTCTGAAGCGCGTCTTGGTGGTGGCTGCAACCAATCGACCGGATCTGCTGGATCCAGCCTTGATGCGACCAGGCCGCATTGACCGTGCACTCTACGTGTCCCCTCCAGACGTCGCTGCTCGGGAGCAGATTCTGCGTATTCACACGCGACAAATGCCATTGTCGGTGGATGTGAGTATAGCTGAATTAGCCATTGCAACGGCTCGGTTTTCAGGGGCAGAGCTTCAAGCGCTTTGTCGGGAAGCTGCTCTCTATGCGGTGGAAGAAGATCGCGCAGCTGTGCATGTCGCAAAGCGCCACTTCCTTCGGGCACTGTCAGTAATAACGCCACAGATCGACGAGCGGATGTTGGCCTTCTTTGAGCGGTTCCGTGACGGTCAGCGGAGGTAGAACTAAGGTCGAGATGCAGACGAAGCATGCAGTGCTACTAGTAGGTTGAAGTGAATGATGAGATTGTTGTGATTGGAGATGCTATAGTGAGGCGACTGATCTCGCACTCAGTTGCGGCTAGTTTTGATGAGAGACGACGTTGGGATTCCGTTTCGCTTTTGCTTTGTTGGTGGCATTGTGTTTGGGTTGGACCGAGACGTGACGAGATCATGGATCAGAAGTGATTTAGACGAAAGTGACGAGATTGATTTGTAAATGCCAGAGCTTGTTGACTGTTCCGTAAGTAGGTGAGTCTATCGTCTTTTTCACCGTAAAGTGCTGACGTATAATGCAATGTGCTGTGCCCCCCCCCCCACATTCTTTGTCTGTACCTCGTAGAGCTCGGCCGACTGGAGGTTCGAGTGGATTCTTCAGCTCGAGTCTTGAAAAGTGATGTTTGAAGGCTATTTTTAATCGAATCATTCGAGTTTCGAATAATTGAGTCCTCTTTGACTCCTTCTATCGAAAGGCGATGTTTGGAGCTGCTTCAAATTTAGGGAATTTATAGATTTCACCCCCTTTTAGATAGATCCACTGTCTTATTTCTATTAGGTACACACTGTACCACTCTAAGTGAGTCCTGTTTAGTCCCTATCAAGTGTGAGATACACCGAATCAAGTAAATCTAATGATTGGTAGGATAGGCTACTCTGGTGTGGTCAAAAGAAAAACAATTCTGGTGTAATCACCTTCTGGTGCAATCATTTCTGGTGCAATCGTTTGTGGTGCAATTGTTTGTGGTGCAATCGTCTTCTTGTGTTCTTGCATGTCATCACCACATACCGCCCATGTCATACTCCTCCCATTATATCTAAAAATTAGCATAGAAATTTGAGGCGGATGCTCATGTGCTCGGTTACTATACCTTTGTCAATGTGTGACTGTGGCGTTGTCGTAGACTTTGCGGATGACAAACGGCTCTGTGGCCACGGCATGAAGTTTAGTACGGAACTTTTTGGGAGCTCATAGCATCACGCGGTCGCCTGGTGTGTAGAAATGGTCGAGTCGTATACTTTCTCGCGGTCATTTTCTGTGGGGATAGCGTAAAAACGACGCTTCGGGAGGAAGCTCCATTTGACAATATAAAGCCGGCGGGTAAATAGATCTTGCCCGAAGAGAAGTGGACCCGGAGATACATGAAGTAAACTGTGATAATTGACTCGAATGGCGAATGCCGCTTATTGTGTGGGTTTGTACCAGTCATCTCTATCGTTGCAGTGAATGAAGTCCAAAATCTTGAGATGGGCGCGCCTATTGTGCGATGGCTTGCGTATTCTTGATCGTGGTCGGCTTATGCTGTGTACCATAGATTCGAAGCGTCTATTGGAATGCTGCGCCGATGAGCTCTGTTCCTTTTATGTGTAACGCTTACAAAACGTGGGAAGTGACATTGCCATTCACGATCGAAGCTCTCGGCCGTGATCAGAGATGATTTCTTGGGATAAAAGTTCACTCATAGCATCACGTAGCATGATCATAAGAGATAGTTCCGTAGCAACAATCCTCTTGTGGATCGGCGAGGTCGACATGACCAGTATCAAATAGGTTCACCGTCTTGACCATTCCAAATGGCAATTATCCATAGTCTTCTTGCCCACATGTACATTGGATTTCTCGCAAACGAGACAGCTTTTTGTTGCTTTCATTAGCGCATCTTCCGAACCGGGTCAATGCAACACTTTTCACATCGTCTTGTACTTGCACTTACCACCAGGATGACTTAGCGTCAGATAACATTAACGAACTAGATCGTCACACAGGCTATCGGGCATGATGACGCGCTTTTGATACACAACTAGCGGACAGCCGAGTAACAGGAGAGTCCAGTAGTCGGGATAGTTGCTGCCTTAAAAGAAAGCCGTCTCAATCTTTTGAACTATGTTGTTTTTTATTCTAGTGTTTACGAAGCACAGATGATGCATGACACAATCTGACTCAACGGTGGTAGCACAAATATCCTCCGCGAGCTGCAACGGGCGATGTGTCCTTTTCGCCAAATCGCATCCGTGAAAATGTGCTACCCCAATTTACTTGACTCCCTTGTTGGAGCGCATAGAGAGCATGTACTCCACAAGCAGAAACTTTCAGCGCTTGACGCAAAGGCTAATTTTGGTTAGATGATATTTGTTAGGTCAGCGTAAACAACTACTGGAAAGACAAGCAGAATAATGCCGTATTCGTGCAACATTTCGACATAGAAAAGAAGCTCACACTTGATATCGTGTAGTTTACTTGGTGCTTGTTATGGACGCGTGACTAGCACGCAAACGTTTGCTTATTCTTGTAACTTCTATGATCCTGCTTGCCGATGGCTTCGGCGTAAACACTACAGGTCTGCATAAAGTCAATGAACGCGAGCCGGACTGCTTGTGCGGACGATTATTCCTATTCCAAGTGGAGATACTTGCGTTTCGCTTGGTAGCCATTTAAACGGAGCCTTGAAAATTGTGAATTGATGAATTTGCTGACACAATGCCATCGTATTAGGTACCATCTATCTCTAAAACTCGATCATTCCGAGAAGAGCAAATCTCAATATCAGGACCACAAATGTCCAAAAGTCCCAAAACCAGGACTATAGTTTAATCAAGTTTAAACCTATCTATATTATACTTGGGTTGAGTATGCAAACTAGCATGGTGTTAGCCACATTATACTCAACTGCAACATGGGATAAGAAACTGCCTGATCACTAATGAGTCTATCCATTTTTTAGACAACTGTCGCGAGTGGTAAAAAAACGCTCTTTTTACCAACGTTCGCCAACTTCTCAATTTGCGCCCACGAGCCGATGTGCCCATTTTGGTTTGGGCACATTGCGTGCGAGCCAGGGCCCGGTCGCACGCACCCGACGAGCTCGTGACCGGGTGACTCAGTTATTACACCTTGCACTGTCGATTTTGATTAAATCAGTAATTCTTTATGTACGCGGTTGCAGCAACGCCAGTTCGGAAGGTTTTACAATAGGTCAGGTCAGTGGTACCGTGATTAGTGTTAATTTCGATTGCTGCAGTCACTCGAGGCATCTCAAAGACTTCTTTCAGTCCACTTCTTGCGCTTACGCTCAAACGCTCAAATTAACCATTCAAAATAAACAGTATGAGGTAGTGAGCAACTTTTTTTAATGATTAATGCTTTTAAGACCAGTACTAATTTCTATAACATGTATTACATTTGTCTTGATATTACGCCCTAGTCAGTCAAACAAACTCCTGGCACTGCAACATATCTACACGGACATAGCACACAATCGTTAAGCAGGACACTCGACATTACCTGAAACGGCTCTACGCCGCTCTATATCACCGGACGCCACTTTACATCACTGGACATTACTCGACATCACTTGATATCGCTCGACATCACTTGAAACGAACTGCAACACATACATACAGACAAAGCATACGATCGTTAGACGGCAAAGTCGACATCGACAGCATAATTACCTGCTACCGCTGCTCATAAGAGTTAATACAATAACGGAGTTTACTAGTCACGAGCTCGTCGGGTGCGTGCGACCGGGCCCTGGCTCGCACGCAATGTGCCCAAACCAAAATGGGCACATCGGCTCGTGGGCGCAAATTGAGAAGTTAGCGAACGTTGGTAAAAAAGAGCGTTTTTTGACCACTCGCGACAGTTGTCTAAAAAATGGATAGACTCATTAGTGATCAGGCAGTTTCTTATCCCATGTTGCAGTTGAGTATAATGTGGCTAACACCATGCTAGTTTGCATACTCAACCCAAGTATAATATAGATAGGTTTAAACTTGATTAAACTATAGTCCTGGTTTTGGGACTTTTGGACATTTGTGGTCCTGATATTGAGATTTGCTCTTCCGAGGAAGCGTCGTTAGATCTTCCTGGTTGTATTCGGCGATTTGCTGAATGCTTGTTTTTTTTCTGAGACTAAATTTCTGCGAAATTCAGCGTTAAGTCGAGTTAAGCGACGGAATGGTGTAACATGTATCATTTGCTGCCGTTGAGAGTCACGTCGTACAACACCCAGCCTTTTGAATACGATAGATAGGTACCCTAGATAAGTTTCTTCGATCTTCGAGTAAACGATAAATATATCTATTTAGACCACCACAAAATCAAAAATGTCAAAGGTCTTCTCGATACAGACCTAATATTTGTCAGGTGCCGAAAAGTTACTTTTGAAAGTCGCTTGTATCGGAATTTCCTAAATAGTAGGCAGAAAGCCGTTTACCTGCGGCTTATTATAGCCAGAAGACGCGCACAGTACCCCTTTAAACGTAAAAATAACCTAGGATCCAGTGAGACATACCATGATGTTGCGGATGCGTGGCATATAGTGCGGGCTGCTCTGCATGTAGTGTAAAAGAGCGCGAAAGTCGATCAGGAGACGTAATTAACCGTTGGGCTTTTTAAAAGAAGGCTGGAGATGCCATTTCTAAATCTTAAATCCACTGTAGCACGTTGATGTGGACCAGGTGCTAAATTTGGTCCACAGCCTTACTTCCATAGTCTCCGTGGGTAGGTAGATCTTGGCGTGAATGGGCTTGTAGTCAGTAGATTTAAGCAAAATATAATTGTCGGACTGATTTCTCCCCAAGACCATTGTAAATGTGCTTATTGTAATAGAGAAGCTGGGGATATTGGTCGATTCGACAAGATACTCGGATACCGTGTCAGGCATGAGATCTTCTAGGCATACCGCAGTTTGAAAATTTTCATCTAGCTCTCGACGGCAGATTCATGATTGCTCATCTCGATAGATGCTCCCTTCTTTAGTTGTGCACATTGATCATCCCACTACACCAATTTCCTTGAATAGACCACTATACCCAATTCATTCGTGATGTCGCGACTAGTCACTACGACATTTTGGAACTGAAAAAGAATTAATAATCTGCGGGTGATCGCATTCGACGACTGTGAATTGCAAATAGAAACTGGACCATCAAGACGCCATTACTGGTGACCTTGCCATTGACAGTCTAAAACATAAATGTGAATGCAACCGGCTGATACTCAAGCTGTGCATTGGCCTATGATGCCAAACCCATGCACTAATGTCAAGTAGCGCATCGAAAGTGTCGTTAGTAAGCAAAGTTCCTATAAGGTAGTAGACGGCATTAGCTATCGGATTGTGGTGGTGTCGTACAGAAAGAATCATACCGATCAGCTTACATATGTTAAGGGAAACGCTAAACGTACCGGACGCGAATGGGTAATTGCACCAGCGATTTATTTTGGCCGATCAATAATGGATTTCCAGTCTGAATCTGGAATGCTCGATCAAATTCTGATAATGCCATTTTAATGTCGGTAAGCTTGTCTTGCATTGCATTTTAATCGTATTTTCCGCAAAACGATTGCCGGAAGACGATGAGCTATGAAGCGAAAATTGAGATAGAACAGAGATTAAACTGACGTCGAATAGAGTAAATGCTTCAACGTTGAACCCATGTGAAAGGCACACAACACTTGTTTTATGCGTACGTATCCATGCCGTGCAACAACCATTGCTCTTTGAGCAGAAACGGCTACATTTACTCCATGCTCCATTCTGTCGATTTGCATTTGGATTATTCCACACGCAAAGCAACAGAACAGGGCATGGGAGCTGTCGAAAAGGCATTTCATCGGTTGCTTCTCTGCCTGCCTTTCAACTCCGAGGGCGTCGTCTGGTGAAAATATCACATGTGTCTAGCTTTACCTTGTTTAAAATGATAAGTCAGCCCATCCCAGTCCTATTCTTGCACCAGGATCATGTTTTGTACAAGGAAGAGAAGCTGATCGATGTATTTGGCAGTCAGGGGGAAAAACTGTACTATTGTCCCCATTTCGAGAGCTAGCAGTCAATTTGACATGCACTTATATACACTGATCTAGGTCCGCGGCAACGCCAGACAATAAATCTATTCGGTCAAAGTCCGTCTTTAAGGCGTCGCACACCTGATGGATTCTCAACGCTATCCTCCTTTGTATTATGAATAGGCATCGTACCATTGATTCCTACTTTTGAGGAGTATATACTACACTTTTAACGACATCCAATAGCATTTTTGCTTTCGTTGTGCCACGTGTCGTGAGCTTCGAGCTTAACGGTGTATATGAACAAGAACGCTAGTCTGTGTACGCATGAAGTGACCAAGATTTTTGAGTGTTGACAGACACCATTCTTAAAGGATTCATAGACATTGATTGAGAACTCTCTCAAATAGGGGGTTTGGCGGCCTTCCTGTAGCCTCCAATAGAACATCGCGGCTGTAACAGGGCACCCTAAAGCTTATACTGATGACGGTACAAGCTACTTATTCTGATGACAGAATGAGGCGGTGCCGCGTAACTTCACGTACACTGGTTCGTGCAGAGGAAGACGGTAAGTAGAAGCGAGTACTTGGTTAAAGTAAAAAGCAGAACTGTATCTATAATGTAATAGTTAATGTCTGTTAATAAACCAATGTTTATCTTCATCTAACTATGTCTAAATACAATTGTGTAAATCAACTATCTGCTCACCACTCATTGCGTGCGTCTGTCGTGGCGCGTCTTCGTTGGTTGATATAATGGCCTATATCAACCAATTAGGAACTACTCGTAAGTGCTGCAGAATATTTCTCCTTATGACAATATTCTGAGAGTATAGCTCTTATAGTTATATTCTATTAACAATTTCTTATAAATTGTTATGTAACGGTTCACCCCGTTACACCACTCCCCCCTTAACCATCAGTCACGTAAGTGACTGGTTGACAAATGGATACTCGTCTTAAATCATTGGGACAGGGTTCGCACTTGTTGGTCCGAGTCCAAATTCCATCAGTTTCATCGCATGGTTGTCAAGTCCATGCGGTGCGCGAACAAGGCCGCTGAGAGCGCGTCTGCACGCCTCTGTGCAGACGCCGAAGCAGAAACCGCTGCAACAGATGTGTCATCGGTTGCTAAAGCGTCTCAGTCTGTATCACCTGGTGATGCAGGCGCTCGTCATGAAGACACTCATGTCTTCACAGAGTATGAGCTCGGTGTATCATACTCTCCTGATACGGAAGATGGATCTGCATCAAAGGCAATTGAAACCAAGCCGCCTGCCCAGCGTGGTATGGATGATGCTACGCATCGTAGCATCTTTGGTTCATCTGAAGAATCAGATGAACCATCGCCGAAGCGAAGGCGCTCGAGATCGCAAGACTCGGGCGCTCACAGTGGTGTCGGTTCTCCTATTGACACCACTTCGCAGCGAGGTACCAGTACTTATGTCGGCACGTCGCAAGAAGAGCGGTACCGCAATGTCTTGCGTCTCGCTCCTGAGAAGAAGGCATGGATGCCTCCTAAATCTGTCATGGATCACTTGTCGGCGACGACGAGTGATCGCTATCGAACACGATTGTTCGATTCGTCAAGGATCCATCACCTTGACCCCAGCGCGAAAAACTATCGCGCTGAGAATGAATTCTTCATCGATGCTTTCTTTAGACATCGATGGTACAGTGGGAATCACAAATGTGATGGTCCCTCACTACTTCAAGCGTGGAACGCCTACATCCATAACCTTGAGGATGTAGGTCGTGACGTTCGGAACGACAAACTTATCAAAGCTTGTGATAAGTTTGAAAAGCGAACCCCGACAGGTGCACGCTACAAGCTGCATCGTCTGTCTAGGGAGAAAGGGTTACCCTGCCTCTCATAGGGAGACTCGTGCCCATGTTGTGTGAACAACTCTGCACGAGCACCTAAGGAGGCTTACCTTCTTACCAGCCCGTGGTGGCGCGTACGTATCTCCAGTGAGATGTACGAAGGGATTGACAACCTGAAATCCCTTTACGACCGTGCCGGGAAGACTTTCTCCGGCGGTCCTTCTGCGGCACAGGATGTGCCGCGTCGTACTGCTCAACCAAACCCAGTACGTCGATCATCAGTTGGGAGCGGGGCTCCCAAGTATCCCAGGACGGGGGATAGCCGCGCCACCGGACGAGATAACTCGTCCGACGTCCGTTCACGTCGCGGTGGTTCAACAGCTGCTCAACTAGATAGCGCTGGCCACCGCGAGAGTCCTCTAATGGAGGTGGAGGAGGAGGAAAGACGCTCTCCACACGATCATGGGGACCCGTGTGTTCCCGAGAGCTTCTTTGATCGCGTAACGCAAGGGTTACGCAACGATCTAGAACATGAGCGGGACAGGCGTCTCCAAATGGAGGACACTGTCTCGAAGCATCGAGCTGAGTTTGCCTTTGCTCAGCTTGAGAACGAGAGATCTCTGACATCTCTTCGTGACGAGTTAAGGGTAGCTCGTGGGATTGTTGATCGGTCTCGGTATGGGATTACTGCTCTTCAGACCCTTGTTGATGCCCACCATCGGGAGCACAAGGCCATCTGTGAGATGCTTGAGCGCAGGGGCGTTCTTCATCGGAAGAAGCAGCGTACTGATGGTACGGCTTAAGCCGACCAACGTAAAACGTGGGATGCGTTCGCATCTTACGTGGTAACTCGATCGTGTATGCATTGCCTGGGCGATGCAATACACGAAATGGGCCAATGTACTTGGGTAGTAGGTTACTGCTACCCAAGTTAGTCACTACTTGCTTTGGTAGATTAACCGTAGACAGGAGGACTAAGTCACCTTTATTAAATAAAAGAGTGTTTGCCCTTCCATTCTTGTCTGCGTTTTGCTTTTGCTTATCCACCGCTTCGGCGATGGAGTCTTGCACAAAACGGACCACCGTTTCACGAGCCAGTATGAACTCATCTGCTGACTCGTTAGCTTCAGTGCGCTGTGAGCGCACTGCAGCAACATCAATCTTTTCTTCAGTGAGGGCTTCCTCGCTCTCACTGGCATCATCTTCTTCGATGTCGATGTTGTCGATATCGGCATCAAACGCAATGACCTCATCGTCAGAGCGTGATGAGCGTGAACCAAATCGGTTTTTGCTCCCGCGAGTCTCTCCCCCCATTAAACCAGAGTTACACTCGAGTAAGGTGGGTACACGCGGATGGCGTAAGCCATTCACGTAAAACGGTGTATGTGTCGTGGACGCATGTACCAAGTTGTTAATGGCAAACTCTACCATTGGCAAGAACTCACTCCAACTTTTAAAGGAGTGTACATATCCTCGAAGGATCTCTTCGAAGACACGATTGGCTCGTTACGTCTGACCATCTGAATCTGGATGATCAGATGTCGACATCTTCAAGCGCGTTCCGAGTGATTTAAACACGGAGCGCCAGAAATCAGCTGTGAAGCGTGGATCTCTGTCTGATACGAGTTCACGGTGCAACCCATGAAGTCGGAAGATTGTGTCAACAAAGACACAAGCACAGCCACTTGCCGTGATTGACTCTGGCTCAGCCACAAGGTGTACCATTTTGCTGAATCTGTCAACAAATACGAGAATACCCGTTTTCCTGCGTGCGTCTTTAGGTAACCCGAAGACGAAATCCATTGAGATGGATTCCCAGCGCTCTGCCGGAACAGGAAGAGGCTGTAAAGGTGCACGCAGTGAAGGACTTGACTTCACTCGTTGACAGACTTCGCATGCGCGAAAATACTTTCGCACAAACTGATACTGGCGGGGCCGGTAAAAGTCTCGGCTCAACTTGAGATCTGTTTTCTCACGGCCACAATTTCCTCCTATAGGAGCATCGGGATACTCGAACATGATCCGCAAACGTAGATCAGTATCATCTGGGATGACAGCACTTGGTGTGTCACCAGAAACGGCTGTATAATATAGTAACCCGTTGCGAGTAGTGTATCGATCTGATGCAGATCGATACGCAGACGACAATCGTTTCAACGATTCTCGAGATGGCTGTGAGAGATGTGTCAACAACTTCACAATCTCACCATCTTGGGCGTATGCCCGCCTCACATCATCATGTAACGTTGAAGATGGTACTGAGGACGTCATAACCGCAACAGTGACTGTCTCACTGTTGGGTTTCACGACTGGTTCAAAGTCGGGACGACGTGAGAGCGCATCAGCGACGACATTAAGTCGTTCTGGTTTGTACTCGACCGTAAAGTTGTATTCCGCAAAGAATGACAACCACCGCGCCATTCGTTGTGAAAGGTGCGGGCTGTTCACTGCCGTGCGTAATGACGCATGGTCAGTGTAAACAATGAAGGATCTATCTCCTAATAGATAGACTCTGAACTTCGCGAGTGAATACTTCATGGAAAGGAGTTCCGTGTCATGCACTGTATAGTTCTGCTCAGCTTGTTGCAGCTGACGCGACTGATAGCAGACGACGCGTTCAACGCCTTCAAGATCGTACTGCATTAATGCACAGCCGATTGCGAAATCGCTGGCATCACAGACCACATGAAATGGCCTTTCCTTATCGGCTATTGCTAGGACTAGGGATTGTATCAAGCTCTGCTTGATACCATCAAAGGAGCGCTGACATTCAGCGTTCCATAACCACCTCTCGTTCTTTTTCGACAAACGAGAGAGATGCACAGTCATCTCGGCGTAATTGCGTGAATACTTATGCAAATACGCCGCTAGCCCAAGGAATTTTCGAATACCTTTGACATCAACCGGCACAGGCCAGTCGGTGATCGCCTTGATCTTTTCGGGATCAGGACGTACACCGTTCTTACCAACGATGCACCCAAGAAGTGGTATTTCGCTTGCTGAAAATATACACTTCTTGAGGTTTGCATACAATTGATGCTTTCGCATGATTGTAAGAACCTGTCGGACGTGGTACCTGTGAACCTCAACGTCCAACTTTCCATCCATAGCTCGACTATCGATGAATACGTCATCGAAATAACTCGGCGTGAATTCTCGTACTGGTCTCAACAGATGTGTATCACATCTGTTGAACGTGGCAGGGGCATTACTAAGCCCTTGTGGCATTACTAGCCATTCCCAGAGCATGCCGCTAGGCGTGCTAACTGCGGTATAGGGTATGTCCCGTTCTCGCATAAGGATTTGATAGAAGCCATCCATCAAATACATGGACGAAAAGATGGTACTCTTTGACATACCATCAATGATTACGTCCTTCCTTGGTATCGGCGTCTGAGCCGGTACCCTTGCAGCATTCAACTTGTTAAATGCATGCACTATCCGCCACCCTCCTGTTGCTTTTCGCACACAGAAGGTCGGAGAGCTATGTGGGGAAGTTGGTTCCCTCACATGGCCTGCAGCTAAACGATCGACAAAGAACTTGTCGATCGCAAGTACATGCTCACGAGGCAGTGGCCACTGCTTCATGACACAGTACTTCGATCCTGGTTTAAGCTCGACCTCGTGTCGAGTACCTTTGTCCTTCGGTAACTCGCACGGAACAGTTTCAGGGAATACATCCTTGAATTCATCCAAATCTTCATAGAGAGGATTTGTCTCGAGCGATTCCCATGATTGGGAGTCATATCGCTCAACTCGTGTCTTTTCATCGAGGACACTCTCGTCCATCGATGAACTACTGAGAAGTCTCTCGTTCTCAGTAAACATGTTGCTGACCTTATGTCGGCTACACACTCGTCGTCAGCGACGAGTATGCAGATCTGCTTGACTTTGCCACTACGCAGATCACGCAAGAACCTTTTCTGTTCGAGCGCTGGCAACTGAGTGATCTCCGAAGTCAACTTCGGAGGCGCAATCAGATCAAGTGTGTAAGCGCCTACACTTGACCCGTTATTGACTAGGACATTCAATGTCTCTATGATTTCCTGGGGACTTATTCCCTCAGGCCTCGAAGGAATTATTCCTTCGACTTCCCGGGGACTTATTCCCTCGAGTTTCGGGGAATTTATTTCCGCCGTATTCGTAATATCGTGACTTATTCCCTTAACTTCCTCTAGCTGGGGTTGCGCAACCACAGTGAGATCCTCTACGAAAGACTCTCCAGTCGATCTAGGATTGTCGTTCGCTTAACCTGAGCGATCGATTGTTTCTCTTCTAGATGTTCCCCTCTAGGGATACATCTTTGTCCCGGTCCACTCGACTCATTCGAGTGGTGGACCTTCGGCGCAGCCTGTGTTTCCTCACAGCCGCCGGGAGCTTGCTCCGGAGTGTAACTGTTTTTCACACTAAGGTTTTGTGCAGTAGTACTAACGACCGTACCACAAGTGAGTCCATCGCACTCACTCGTAGCACATACACACGCTTGTGGACGCTCCAAAACGTTCATCAGATGGCCATCTGATGAACAAGCGGCAGGCATCTTCACGGATCGATGCTGCCAGCTAACCCGTGGTTCGTACCTTCTGAGCCACGGTATTCCAAGGATAACATCAAATTTGTCATCAAAATCCAATACCATAAAGTCATCATCATATTGGGTATCTTCTAGCGTACAGTGGATCTTCACTATACGCTTCATGACGGTTACGGATGCGCCTGTCGCAAGACGTACCGTCATCCTCGTAGGAGGTGTGTCACATTCACTGAACTTAAAGTGACCATCCTCTAGCGATTGGCGTCGCACAAAATTGTTGGACGCCCCACAATCGACTAGAGCTCGAAGGGACAACTTATTCGTCACTGCGAGTTTCAAGGTAATGAGTGAGATCTCATTACCTATAGCTGCAACGCACAATAATTGTGTGTTGGAAGCAACCTTCGTCAAGAGGCCTACAAATTCTCTTGACGTTGCTGGACCAGTAGGGTGCTCCGCACCTACTGATCCTGTCCGTTTTTTTATGGTCCATCCCGTTGTTGCATCTTTGCGCCAACAGCGGACCCTCGTCCCTGCCCCTTTCTCATGGGTGGACGGTCACTACGCCCAGTGTCGCGAGACACTGGACGAGGGGCACTACACTCGTAAGCGTAGTGTCCTGTCTTTTGACATCTGTTGCATCTCTGCAACTTCTTGTAGTCTGTAGAGCGAGCCCTCTCGCTCTCTACATAACAGAGTTCCATCGGCTCTGGACCTCCGTTGTCATATCGTCTCGGTTGACGATATGATGTCGAGCTGGCGCGAGCCTGTCTCAGACTGAATTCTTCCTGCTCCGCAATGGAAATGGCTTGTTCTAGTGAATCTAGTTCAAGCCGGAACAGGTGAGTCTTGACGGGACCATCCGCAAGACCCTGCATGAACGCCGAAATCAACGTGTGTTCATCCACCGGATTGGAACTTATACAGCTCGTAAGATGTCGTATATGTTGCGCGTAAGCGTGCACATCACGCTTACCCTGCTTGAGCTTCAAGAGTTCGGTTCGAGCTCTGAACTCAGCTCTAGGCGGTTCAAACGTTTTTCTGAGCCGCGACTTGAAGACTTCTAACGACCCAAACGCATATGGGTCGTGCAACTTGAGCCCCAGTGCCCAAGTCTTGGCACGTCCTGCCAGATTTGATTGGGCAAATGCAACTTGCATGTTCCCGTCGTCGGTGCGACGCACCTTATGGCCTCATCCAATACGACGAACCATCTCAAGAGGGAGTCCTCTTCGACTCCCCTATGCTTGGAGATGTCAATCTTCAAGGTCTCTGGTCGACGCGAGTGCATCGACCCACCAGCAGCAGCCTGCTGCTGTCTCAACAGTTCAAATTGTTGAGCACCCTGTTCTCTCAACAACTCTGCTTGTTGAGAACCTTGTTGGTGAAGCAAGGCTACTTTCTCGCGTTCTGCGTCAAGTCCATTTTGAATGAACTTGGCGATAGTAGCATGTTGGGCATCTCTATTGAGAGCCTCTAGCATGACGCTAACAGCATGGATGCCCATGGTTGAACCCATTCGTTCAACCGCATCCCATTCGACATCGCTCAAATGGGAGTAGCCGTCACGCGTAGCGTGAAAGCTTTGGTCATCTTCATCATCCAACATGTTCATGTTAGATGTGAACGTGGTCTTGGACGGACTACGAAGTGCTACCAGGTGTAACGGGGCACCCTGAAGCTTGTACTGATGACAGTACAAGCTACTTATTCTGATAACAGAATGAGGCGGTGCCGCGTAACTTCACGTACACTGGTTCGTGCAGAGGAAGACGGTAAGTAGAAGCGAGTACTTGGTTAAAGTAAAAAGCAGAACTGTATCTATAATGTAATAGTTAATGTCTGTTAATAAACCAATGTTTATCTTCATCTAACTATGTCTAAATACAATTGTGTAAATCAACTATCTGCTCACCACTCATTGCGTGCGTCTGTCGTGGCGCGTCTTCGTTGGTTGATATAATGGCCTATATCAACCAATTAGGAACTACTCGTAAGTGCTGCAGAATATTTGTCCTTATGACAATATTCTATTAACAATTTCTTATAAATTGTTATGTAACGGTTCACCCCGTTACAGCGGCTATTAGTATAGGTAGTTGCTCCTACCTTCCACCATGTAGCATATTGCGCACAATCTAGGGTCGGTTGGTATACGTGATAAATAAAGCCTGTATATGTTGTGTGCGCGTACGCAAGACCCGTTTCGCTAGGGTGAGTAGAACGATGACTGCACACAACTACACGATATTGCATCCGCAATGATCCCAAAGCTACTACTCGCACAAATAATTTGTGTCTGATGCCAAACTCATATTTAGTTTGGAGAGGGGATGTTAATTCTAAGAAATATTGGGAGCTGCAATAATTAGATAGAAAAGAACAAAAGGGTACAGGATATTTACTTTACGAGACCAGCGACCCTATTGGCTGTCAAATCGGTAGACGAGGCATTTTCCGATTAGCGTTTATGTTTATGTGCCTGGGTGTATCGTACGTCGTCGCTGTAACGGGGCACCGGTTGCTTGTACTGTCACAGTACAAGCTACTTACACTAAACACAGGGTAAGCAGGTGCCTCGGACCTTCACGCACACAGAGGTGCAGAGGAAATTTTCAAAACAAAATAAGGGTGAAAGTAGAACTGCATTAGTATTGTAAATCTCCTGTTCTCAAATCCGATTCAGTCTTCTCCATAAATACCTAAATGCAAACATGTATGTGAGCAGATGCCCACCGCTCAATGCTTTCGTCTGTCATGTCTCAAATTTATTGTCCTTTATCAACTAATGAAAATTGTATTAATTCTACTTTACAACATTACATGTTAAGAAAAAGGTATCTGTCAAAATGTAATATTTTTTTGCGAGCCCGAAAGGTGGAGCTATTAGTGAGTGTGCGCAATGTTGAATACCGAACTCTTCATTGTACCTATCTGTGTGTCCGTGTGTAATAACGTGGGTAGGTGTAGCTTGTGCGGACCAAGTACGATCTAGCCTGTCCCCACTACATAGGTACATAGGCACATACAAGTCGCTCTTTGGCAAGGTCACTATTGCGACGCACGCACGTGGTTGGCTTAAATCGATCTGAGGTCATTATGATCACATTAGCAAACGCTCATATAGAAAGGCCGATCATGTTGCGCAAGTGTACCGTACTGTGGTAATACATATAGTACCATCATCATACTCATTGATCAGTGCCTGCCGTTGTACATTGTTTGCAACTTGATTCAGTTCTCCGAACTGGATTATGCGTATCAAAAGGCGAGCTCCAGAGCACTTTCCTCTATCTTACTTGATATTTACCTAATGTAAAATATTTCATGTAATGGTGTCGTCCTGTTACAGTAGCTCCTGATGCAGCAGTACCCTTTTCGTTGAAAGTTCTGCGAATGATGCTTACAGAATAGGCAATGTAATAATCGAGGATGACTAATCTCTGTTTGGTGAAACTCTGACCAGCCGAAGTCACTGGTACTGTTACAATTGGCGTGGTGTAACTAGTCGTGGAGAAACTGGCAAATATCATAGTAACGCTTTCGTGAGATGTTTCAATCAAGTTTAAAAGGGATTTGTGATTTGGTAAAGCTCAAATGGATCGTCCGTGTCACACTTGCGACAAGGCAGACAGGTTGGGATACTCGATCACAAAACAGTACAAAAGTCGCCGACTCAACATCTTCGTATGCATTTGACGCATATGGTTACACGGAATGTTACACAGAATAAATATAGTGAGCATTCATGACTCGGCATCATGGCAGCTGGAATACTGTACATCTTGACGCAACTAATAGTTCAACCTCCGTCTGGGGAGTGCCACATTTAGTCCAGGGTTTGTACAGGACGTAGTGACACTTTGGACGACCTAACTGTATAAGCATCGTGCATGAATAAGCAACCGCCTGCCGCCCAAGTCAACGATCATAACGAAATCGACAAGTTTTGCTCCAGATCTACGTGTCAAATGTCGAACATCTACCTACAAAACAAATCTTGCGGCTATTCCTGAGCACTGCTACCTTCTTTGAACCTTTTTGTTATTCGATCTTATAAGAGCAAGACGTACGATGTTGTCGCTTGCAGACATGGTCACAAAGAGTCTCTAAGATTGACCAGACTCTATGAAGTCCTAGCTGCGGTCTCTTGACGTTGCTGGCTGCTATCGATTGAAGCAAATTGACCGCGACCACATTGTACGACAACCATTTGCATGGAACCCACTCTGACATTTGCAGTACAACGATGACGTTCCCAAATCAAGCCAGCTACACCCCAGGATCCCAACGACTAGACCCCAAATGCTTTGTTAAATCTGCGCCGCTGTGCAAGTCCACAATGACCGCAGTAGAAACTGCTGGGATGAAGCAGGAACTTCAATTGATGTTGACCACGCTGTCACCTACGCACGAGGGGATGGCACCTCCGCAGATAATGCCGACCAAGAGTGAGAGTCTGGCCAATGTGGAACACAGCTGCACTCGTTTACTTGACGATCCAGTCTTTCAAGGAATCGAGGACTACAAGCATCGGTTATCAGAGAATGAGTCTGCTGCTGTAGACTCATTGTCAGCGGTAGTAGATAACACCTCAAGAGTCTCTCAAATGATGTCGACATCACTTCCACGGACCTCGCCGTATAGAAAAGCACCCGTGGATCGCTACTGTGTGAAACGCTCCAGCCTTTCAAAATTGGCAAAGAAGTTGATGAACGACTGGTTCGAGCACAACTTGCACCATCCATACCCGACGGAACAGGAAAAGCTTTGGCTTGCTGAGCGTGGGGGCATCACGATCGAGCAGGTGAGTAATTGGTTCATCAATACTCGCGGTCGCAAGTGGAAGCCCATGCTCAACCGACTCCTGGCCGAAAAACAGGCCGGGAACTGCAAATTGCTCGATTTGATGGTGCAGAAAGTTGAGGAGCCCTATCATAAGGTTCTGTAAAGGTGAATGAGTAAATGAGATAGCAGTGCAGAATACATGTTGGCTGTAGAAGAAGTCTTCGAGCCTAATTTCCCCTGTTGATTCTCTTACTTGTTCCACATTGCGTGTTCTGTAGAAATTACTGTCAGCGGTACTGCATCTTGTTATCCGTGAATAGTGGAAGGATAACAAACACGCTACTCGAAGCTTGACTACAACACCATATTGTTTGGCATGGTTGAGCCGGTGCGAACCATTACTTTTGCTTAATGGTGTGGGCTTACTCAACCTGCAATGAGTGCACCTTGTCTTTACCACTGCCGGCGCAGCAGGACCAGCTGTTGTCACTGTGTTAAGCTTATTGCTGTGCACACTTGACATCTTTGCGTTTGCGAAGGTGCTAAGAGGCGCAGCACTCTCTATTTCGTGTCCATTTGCTCTGCGCCTTTTAGCACCTTCGCAAACGCCCAGGATGGCGCTTTCGACAAGCTGCTACTCGAGGAACTATCGTTGACCGCACTCGAACGTCACGATTTACAGCAAAGAAAGCAAATGTACTCTCAATCAGAAAAAGTATAGTAGCTGATCAAAAGCCTGATGTCTGAAATAGTCCAACAGAGCGAGTGAAGGCGCATAGCAGCCACCACTTCGCCTGGTAACAAGTCTATACAGACTTCCCGTCAGCAGTCGCTCGTAGCCGTATTTTCCCGTACCCTTATCACTGCTCGTTTCCTACTTCACGCCTCTGACTCCATAGCCACAGCATTTTCCCACTTTATCTCCTTTAGCCGCTGCAATACCCGACACGGCCACACACTCCGCAACGTTTCTCCTCAAAACTCGAGTCTACTCCTCTTTCTTGACATCCAACGACTCGAGAGCCTTGGCGGCATCGTCGCCTGCCGACGTGTCCGCTGCATCAGCGCCTTCCTCGAGCTTCTTGTTGTTAGCCTTGGCAGCGTCGTGCGCCTCTTTAAACTTCTGGGCGTTCTCTGCACTGCCAAAGCGCAAGGCAAAGACTTGCGTCTCGACAACCCCGTCGGCAAAGTCGTAGCAGCTAAAGACCCACGCACGGTCGCTGCCCATGTTGGGTGTGAGCTCCGTCCGCGACTCAACCAAGTGATTGATCAGGATCTTGTGCGTCTTCTCTTGACGCATGAGCATGCGCACCTTTTGGTGCTCCTTGTGCCTGAGGAAACGCACATCGCCCACACCGCGCTCACACCACGATTTCTTGCCCGTGCCCTTGTCCAGCAGCGACTCCTTGTAGCAAAAGACCTTGGTACGTCTACAACCAGGACAAAACCCCTCAAACAATTGGCCTTCTGCGTATACGCCCGTCAAGTTGCTTCACGAGACAACGTACTGTTTAAACACGACCTCTTCTTCTTCCTCGCCAGTAGTGACCTCGACCTCGTCAAGCTTCACCACCGGCTCAAAGTACGCCTGTGGCTCGTCGGACTCGGGTGCGACCTCATCCGTGGTCGTGGCAGCTGCAGCTGCTCCTCCCTCGGCCTCCGTCGTCGTCTCGTCCACGTTCTTCTTCTTTTCCTCCGTGTCCGACATAATCTCTGGATTTGGCTTCGCGACTGACTGGTGGCTGGGGCGTCGATAAGCGATCCCAAGCGAGCGCTTAAAAAGCGTTCCCAACGCAAAAACCACAGCTGGAGGGCACGGCACAAGCGCGAATAGGGTGTTTTGTAAGTGCGAAGCGCTTAAATTTGCCCAACATGGCTACGTCAGGGTTGTGTGGCAACTGAGCAGCTACGCAGGACACGACGCCCATGTCCTGGCTTTGCACGCTCTAGCTCTGGTTGGCTGAAATTCACTCAGCAATAAGCCAGCGCACGCAGGTGTCACCGGTCGATCGGTCGGTGGGTTACGCGGCTCCTTCTGCCGCTGCATGGACGCCAAGCAGCGCGAGGATACGCTGGCAGTTGCATCAGCAGCAGCACAAGCAGCAGACGCATCTGCTCCACCGCGCAAGAAGTCGCGCGGCTCTGGATGCGACAAGAGCGAGTTCGTGAGCGTCAAAGCGGGAATGCGGGAATTAAACAGGCGGCTAGCAGCTGCATCAGAAGACGCCGTTGCTTCTGATTCTTTTTCTCCTGCTGCCAGTACGACAACAGCAATTGGAGTGTCAAATGCGACACGGGAGGACGTCAAATCGTGTCGAGTCAAAACAAAGACGACTTCGTTTAAAGCTGCTCGTCCTGTAAAGAAGAGAAGAGCGAGCAAAGTGGCAACGACTGGTGGGGATGAGGATGACGCACGTTCTGATGCGTCGAAGAAGACGCTGGCGGAAGTGAAGCGGGAGCTGGAACGCGAGCAGAGAAAGAGAGTGGAATCGCGTATTCAGACGCTGCAGTGGGAAGCTGAAGCAACGGCATATGTTGTTTCGTTGACTTCTCGTGCACATAACAATGATGGACCGCGTGGTTGTGTAAAACAAGGAGGAGATAAGCAACTGATTAGTGGTAATCGAATGGAGGAGCCAGCAGTAGCGTCACCGTTAACGATGATAGACGCCAATAGATTGCGCGCAACAAGTACGTGCAAAGCAGGTTCTACTACCCTTCACATGCCGGTCAAAGCTCTTGATGGGTCGTCGGTTGAACCGCCGTGTAAGAACGAGTTTATTACTGGGGATGTAGACGAAGACGTAGTGTATGCACTGGCGCTTGAAGAGGCGGAACAGAAGCTCGCAACGCCTCAGAAGCCACTGCCGTCTCGTAGTGGATCTGTGAGTGCTACTAACTCGAACTTTGTAGCATCACGCAGTCTTCGGGTGCCGACTGCCTCGCCGATTCTCGCGCAACCGACGCTTCTGGATTCACATGTACATGCGCAGATGCAGCTAAAACAGGATGGAGATACTCAGGAGCCAAAAACAACAGATGCCGTGCAGATCGAAGCGAATTCTGAGATTGTGAAAGAGATGGAACGCTTAAGGCATGAGAACGAGCTTCTGAGGCGGTCCAATGAGCTCCTTCGAGCGGCTGCTCTCACGTCGCCATCGATACGAGCAAAGGATTTTGAGAATGAGCAATCTCGCGCTTCACTTGATCAAGTGCATGATCAGAACAGTGTTAGTTCTACATCTAAGGTTACTACATCGGGTACCCCGGCTGGTAGTTTCACGACTCGATTTCTTAATCTGGCCAGATGTGATAACGAACAGAACGTGAAGCGAATGGTCCCATCCTGGGAGACTTACCACATTCAGGACTGTACGAGTAGCCGTTCTACAGGGAGTCAGCAAACCAGCTCGTCGGATGCACAAAGTAAAGACACGATACTGAGTCGTAGCGGCATAGAGAAGAACGGTATGAAAAACCAGCACCAGGTCAAGACTAAGAAGGCACAGGAGCCTGATAAAGCTGTGGAACCTGAGTCAAAGCACTCCCGTGATGTGTCTCCGCAAAATCTTGCGGCGGGGTCTGATCAATTTGCAGCTGCGGAAGACAAGCATCCCTCTACGCGATCGGCGACAAACTATGTGTTTGATCAGGACAATGAGACTGCGCAGCTCGAACTACTGCAACCAAAAGAGCTTTCTTCGTCAGTGCAGACCGCACATGGACGCTGCGCGCATACTACGTCAGGAAGCGATGATCATAGAGGACCGGATGTGAGCATGCTCGACGTCGAGGAGAGGGACCACGAGGATGGCGGAAATGACCGAGACGAAGAGGAAACTGTCAATAAAGATCGATCGAGTGAGCGGGAGTCAACGGTTGACAATGGAAGTTACACGAAGTATAAAGTTCGACGAGATTTTGTTTACGGTGATGCGGACGACCATATGGATGAGGTCTGTGACCGCAAGACGTTTGCTGTGACAACAAAGATTGCCACTGCGCAAGCATTATCGACTCATACCGACTCAAACGTATTGGAGACGGTGAACAATAACGAGTCCGAGTCTGCCCTAAAGCCGGATAAAAAAGCGAAGACTGAATCTCGAGACCAAGCTACTAAACATAAGAACTCAGGCGGTGGAGGTGGTTCAGTTAAACACAAAGCGACGCGAGTGAAATCGATTAATCAGCGAGTCGATGTCGCCCCTGCAACTGTATCGTCGAAATGCGATTCTGAGACGGAAAGTGATGAAGATTTGAAGGAAAACGTTGTCGGCTCAAATGCGTTAGAAGCCGCTCTGAAGGCAGCAGAGGATGATACGGGCTGCAAGAATGATGCTAGGCCACGTTCTGTAGCCGACGGTGCAACGAGTCACAAGCGACGCGTGGTGAAAGAACACCGATCTGTAGCTGCTTCGGTATCCTTACCTGTGTTACCGGCAAGCAGCACAACGAGGCAACAAAAGTTTGCTAGTGTTTCCTCGACAAGTGTTAAAACCTCCTCGAGTATAAAAGACACCTTGCTGTGGCCAGCGCTGGACGACTTTTACAACTTTTTGCTAGAGATGTCGCCAAGAAACGTCCGTGGATCCGATCAGAAGAGGGCTCACCTCAAGAAATATGCTGGTGGAAAGCTGCCGGCTCAGTATGATTCAGTCGACGACTATTGCGGCTTACACCTTGAGGCTATCATGGAAGAGTTAATGGCATCAGTAAGCAATGCAACAAACATGAGATCTGGTGGAAGATCAGGTCTAGTCCGTAACTTGCCACTCACGTCTGTATCGCCTTGCGGCCCACAAAGAGGTGCTACATCGTTAAACGGATTGAGTTTCAATGCCATTTTCTCCGAGAGTGGTTACACTGGCAACACGTCTAGTAGTAACGATTACATCCTCACTTTTGGTATCCCTCCGCATGGCAAGAAGGGCGCGTCGGACTTTACGAGCGGTGATTTGGTTTTAGTGCGCTCTCCTCGTTGGAAAAACTACAACATGTGTGTTTTCGGTGTGGCATTGTGCGGCTCAGCGGGCATTGTGGGAGGTAAAAGCACTTTGGGAAGTGAAGGCAGAGGCAATCGACTCGGAAAAAGCGACCAGATTTGTGTACTTCTTCGCGCTCAAGAGCGAGATGAAGGAGAGACAGAAGACAGTTTTAGCGTGTTGACGGAGCTGTGTCTATCGAATCACCGTGCCCCAAATTGGCGATGGTCCCTCGAGCAAGTGCACAATGTCACTACAAGTGCGCGCGAGTATCAAGCGATCAGGACTATACCGTTTGTTTCCAACGATGTTCAGCAGTTGCTATTGCGTGGACGCTTGGACTCTCCTGCTGCTGGACCTACTTCAAATAACGCTACGGCATTGTCTTCACTACTTTCGCCACGATTGCTGAAGTATCTATCGGACCACTACAATGAGTCACAAGTACAGGCGATTGTTGGATGTCTAAGAGAAAATAGTAGGGTCATTGTCCAAGGACCGGTGCGTTACGCTCTCCTTTTTTCGTTCGACGTATTCGACTTGTGAACTTATCTTGATGTTTGTCTTGTTTGTGCGCGCATGTTTTCAGCCTGGAACCGGTAAAACCAAAACAGTGCTGGGACTCCTTGCTGCTTTGCTGGATGGTGCTGGACTCCCCGCTCTTGGAAAAGCAAAAGGGACCGCGCGTATTCGTGTGGGTGCATCATTTGAGAGCGCTCGGAAGTCATCAATGCCCAAGACTGAAGCCGACACCTCGATCCGAATCCTCGTTGCTGCACCAAGTAACGGTGCTGTCGACGAATTGGTCGTCCGAGTTCTAAGTGAAGGCTTATTCAGTAGTGAGAAGGGAGAGTTCTTTCGTCCACGAATTGTACGCGTGGGCCGTCCAGAAAGTGATCAACAGCCACCAGGTTTGGCACAGGCTCAAGAACTCGGTGAAAACAAGGAGAACTGCAAGAAGAAGCGAAAGTATGCTCACGAGGTGGAAGAGGTCTTGCTTGATACTTTGGTATCAAAGCATCGACGTTCGTTTTCGACCGTGAAGCAGACACGCGAGGCGGTCATCAAGAATGCGCAGATTGTGTTCTGCACTCTCAGTGGAGCTGGCTCTGCGGCCATGTGTGAGTTCGCACAAGAGTTTGATGCTCTTGTAATCGATGAGGCTGGCCAAGCCGTTGAGGCTAGTACGCTGATCCCGTTCAAATTTCGTCCGCGTCGAGTTGTGCTAGTAGGTGATCATCGGCAGCTACCGGCTACGGTGATTTCGAAACGGCTTGTTACAATGGGATATGACCGGAGTTTGCAACAGCGCCTTGTTGAGAATGATTCGCCGGTGCTGCTGCTTTCTCAGCAGTATCGAATGCATCCTGACATCGCCGAATTTCCGTCAGCTTACTTTTATAGTAGACGCCTCGTACAGGATGACAACATGCGCGAATGGACTGCGCAGGACTATCATCACGATCGTGCTTTCAAGCCGCTGCTGTTTTATGATGTGCAAGGAGCGCAGAGTCAGGTTAGCGGATCAACGTCATTGCGTAACATGAACGAAGTTGAGGCCGTGTCCCTGCTTGTGCATCGTCTGCTCGTGACATTTCCACAGGAAGAGTGGAAAAATCGTATTGGTGTCATTGCACCGTACAAACAGCAGATTTACGAGGTGCGCAGTGCGATCAGGAAGCTCGAGGTTGCGTTTAATCGCCGTTTGGACATTGATGTGAATACCGTGGACGGCTTCCAAGGTCGTGAGAAAGAGATCATCATTTACTCGTGTGTCCGTACAAGTTATGGTGGTCGCCGGAAGAAAAAGAGACGGAGACACGGGAATGACACGGACGAGAATGTTCTCGATGCTTTCTGGGCAGACGAGCGGCGTATGAACGTCGCGATCACTCGAGCCAAGAGCAGCTTGTGGATTGTGGGGAATTCGAAGTTGCTGAAGCAAAGTCGTGCATGGAAAGCTCTCATCCGGCACACAGAAGACCAAAGCAGATATATTGGCAACAGTGCTGTCTTTCTCGCCTCGCCTCGTAGTACACCGAAGATATAGACCGTGTGAACTGCGGTAGCCGCATCGTGGCGGTTTTTGCTGACAATGTGCGAGTCGACATGCCGCAGCGCATGAACCCGACTCGACAATGCTCTGAAAAGTTTGCGGTGTGTGGCCAATATACGACTTGACGTAAGGAGTGGGGAGTGACCTGCGGAGAGCAGTAGAAGTGCTGCAAGCAGTTTGCCCATTTGAGGTGAACGGTATTTCGTGGTCCCTCATTAGCTTCGGATCGGGTCTACACGACTTCAGTAACTTGACGAGGTCGTCAGCAGTTTTACTACTGCAGATACACCACACGAAAAGCTTTTCGACGAGTTTTTTGCGTCTGTAAATTGAGCGAGTCGACTATCTTGTCTTTAACAAATGCTCGATACGTGCCTCATACAACTCAACGAGCCAGGAGGTTGAAGCTGAATTGGGCTTAGCGAGCACTCGATTTCCTGGTCAATAACTAAACGTATTACCGGTTTGGATAATGTTGATAATATTGATGCAAACCCCATCGCATCCAAGAGAGAAGCAATTTTCAGTATTGTGTTTCATATTCGAGAGACGTGCTTTATACATTTTATTTGAGCGATTAATTCAGGCCGGGTCTCTTTCGCTCACTTTGGTACTGTCATAACGCAACGACTTTTCTGATCTCTTCCACCTCCTCAAACGGCCAGATATAGCGGAGAAGTATAAAGCAGTGATTGAAGAGGGCATACATAGTCTACGTTTCCCTCAACCCCCTCTATAACTAAAAGCAACAAGTACTGCTATCAAGATCAGCCGAAGCAGACAGAAAAACGGGTGAGATACGAAAGACCAAGAGAAGATCGGAGGACGGCAGCATCAAGCATCACCCCTACAATAAGATAGAGGAGCAAGCTCTGGAGCTCGCCATTAGATATAAGTAATCTAGTTCGAAAAACTGAATTAAGTTGCAAAGCACACTGTGCTTCAGCAGTCAATGAAAAATGGTCATGATGCTGTTAAATTAATTCAAAGGTTCACTCATGCAACGCGATCAGCCTTCGCTTATGAGCGTCTGGTGTTTGCAAATGTGATGATAATCAGCTTTGATCGATTATGAGCCAAGCACAAGCGTGCACCACAAAAGTGACCCAGCCAAAGAGTGACTTCAATTATACTACACCTATGGAAAAGCAGACTTGATCTTACTTTGTACGTGGTAGGTACACCTAACCGTATTACTGCAGACAGTCATGCACAGATTTGTACATTTTAAAAGTTTGGCATTCAACCTTGCGCACGAGGTTATATACCAAACTTTTAAATCGTAAATTTCTGTGTGTGTGTGACTGTAGATAACACGGTCAGGTGTACTTTACACGTACATAATACAATCTAGCCTGTTCTCCCTCATAGGTCAATTAGCATGCTAGGTGTCACTCTATGGCTAGGTCAATATTGTGATGCATGCACCTGGTTGGCTTAAAATCGATCACAGGTGCATATGATCACAGCAAAAAATTGGTGGACGCTTGTAAGCAAAGGCCGATCGCTTCGTACTGCATTAATACATATTTCAACAGCACCATACTTCTTCCTCAGTAACTGCAATTGTTGTACAGTGATTTTCAACTTAATTTAGTTCTCCGGCCTGGATTATGTATATCAAAGGGCGAGCTTAAGAGCTTGCTTTGCTATTTTAATTCTACTATTTGTTCGACAACTGCACAAAGAGAGAGAAATCTGCTCAAAAGGCCACAGATCTTCTGGAGAGAAAAGGAAACGCTCATTCTTACAAATTTGAACCTGCTAACGCATTTTTGCTTAACAATCATTCGCTTTCACTTCCTTTTTCCTCAAGATCTATCACCCAAGCTCAACATCCTCCTACATCTTTAATCTTACCGTGGCTTAAGGGGTATAATTACTTTTTTCGGTAACTTACAATTTTTAAGTTTATGACAACTTGTTGTACGCTAAAATTGCGACAAATTCATAAGGGCATTGAATTATTAAGTATTGTAAAGGAATGTAAGCAATCCTCTGACCTACTTTGGTCGGGTATGAGATGATAAAAGAAGGTTTAAGGTGAGAAAAGAACTCGTTGTCAAAATTAGACGGGCAAGTACCTTACACCCCACGCGAAAAAGTGAAGAAAACGCAGTGTTCGGAGAAGGATCCTGAATCTTCTCTATCGAGGTAATCAACACGACAAAAAAAGGTTTGTAGCATCCTCAACTCTTAGACTCTTAATGTAACTCGAAGTGTTTTCAGCAATCCCAAGGGACATCGAATCAAGAATAATTTGCCTATTTAAGTATCGCATTTTTAAACGTAGAAAATAAGGTCATTTACGTACAAAACAGCACAACCCCTACCGAGTAAAATTGACGAAAAGAGATACTACGTTATGATATATCGCTTTTCGTACAGTCTCACAATCAAGGCTTTCTCGTGATCGATTTCACAAAGTCACTTACTTCCACAGTCTGTACGAATCAAGCGTATTCTTCTATCTCTCACATCCTGCGTCACAGTGAAGGGTAAACCTCCTTGCCTTAATGTAGTATAGCATTATGTCAAATACGTACATATATAAATTTAACGCACAAACGCAACAAATGCCGAATTAGGTCGGCGGGATGGGTTAGACGTTAGGCCAAAATTCCTTCGCAGTTATGGCCCTTCGGTTTCAGTTAGATTTTTTTCATAATGGATTTCCTAAATTACTTCCTTTAGAAAACTTCCTGAGCTCAGTAGCTACTAGACATCATACTGCTATTAATTTACATCAGTGGGTGGACGATGACGATTGCGCGCTTTTACAAGTCACATACAAAGTGTACACTCGAATAAAGGAGTTATGGTTCATTCGCCAAAGGCTCACTGTGACGTCACTTAGGCACTTTTATAACGGAGCCTTCAGCTGAGGTTTACGCCTCGTCAAATAAAGAAACTTAAATTGTTCCCTTTTGCTGAGTTTAATCGGCTCATAATTAACGAGTTTTACTATCGCTAAAAAGTACCAGTAAGCTTCCCGGATCATTCTCATTCCGGTAAGACCGCTTTGAGCGTTAGCGCTGCACTTTTGCGCTAAGTCTCTACGCGGTCTTAACGGTTCCTGGACTTAGAAAACTCTGCACTGCATTAGCTTATCTCGTTTGCTATATCGTAAAGCCTTTTTTGTGTGACTAGCTTCGTTCTACCATTTGTACTATCATGTACCTAGCACAATTTCCTAGTGAGTAATATACTGTATATGCAACATTACGAGGAGATTCACTTTGCTAAATTCTTGAACCTAGTCCCACGTCACGGATCTTATCGCCGAGTCTCATCGTGCCGAGCATCATTTAGTACAAGTAAGTCTTAACGAGCTTAGACTTTTCACGTGGACCCAAACATGGCGGATACACGCTGCTAATTTATATGCACACTAAGCTTGTTACAGTTCACCAGTATCATTGTGCGCTAGACTAGAAGAGACACGGTGCCCTTGGATGTGTCTTACCAGATATCCACACGACAATTATGTAACAATATGTAGTTCTGGACATACTATCTCCTTTTCAGGCAGAGCTCCTTATTTTGCTGGTATTGACTGCAACCTTGAACCGACTCAACGGCTTTGTTTTTTCACTTGACATTTGTTCAAGATATGCATCTTGATGTTTGGATCAGGTGTTTTACAGTCCTCATAACGTAATGTTTGAAATTTGCGGATCACTCGGACTTGAATGTTTTGGCACTTTTTTAATTTGCTATTTTTGCCTACTAAACCGTAGATGTATTCCTCTGCACTTTACCTACTTATTATACTTACCGTCAGTGGACAGCACCTTGGATCATCTACCAAACAAATTCACCCTTACAACTTCATAAGATAAATTGTCCAAGACGAAACTTGACGCACTCAATTTGCGGGGTCTAGATACACTGGATGAAATAGTAAAATGATTCAAAATAATATTTTTTCATTACAGGATGAAATGCCAGCATAAAAAAGGCTCAGCTGAGAAGGCTCAAGATGGACGCGACTGGAATTTTTTTTAAAAGCAGGTGAAAATATAGGTACTACAGACGAGCGTAATTTTTTCCTCCACAGAGCAAATATAAGGAATTAAGCTGTGTGAGCGTTAGATGAATAAACGAAAATATACTGAGTATTGAGATCTGAAGTGTTCTCCACCATTATCCTTCTAATCTTGATTGTGGACAAGACGGCGGTCACGCACGACAATGTGATCGATGCTGGGGGTATTGTCAGGATAAAGGTTGTTACTGGATGACACTGAACTTGCATCATGGCGATGTTTTGAGAAGTAGTGGAAGAATTTAAGGTTTAGATTTTGTCGCAACACACATGGGATGGATAACGTCTCCCCGATATGTAATATGATGCCCGCTGTGAATTACAATGTGAGACACAAACATGAAGAAAAAGGTGAAGTATCGTCAATTTATCCAAGACAATTTGAAGGCGACTGTCATTTTTATAATGAAGATCCTCGGTTGAAAACAATAGTCTTATTTGACGTTTTATTTCTTGCTAATTCAGAGCACTAGCTGAAACTTAAGTGATTTTTATCAATAAATTGTGAGCTCGAGCGAGTTCTACAGTGATGCCAAGAACCATAAATTTATAAAGAAACGAGCGTCAAAGGTGCTCATGACGGTTGTATCGAGATGAACGCGTCATGGTCACCTTTTTATAGCCGTATCATGAATATCGCATGGCGTTGACATGCCCACACTATTGCTGGAACCAGAATTGAATGTCTCAAAAAAAACGGAGAGAAGGTTTTATTTCGAATTGACAGAAATATCTAAGCTGGTCTGGTACAATCCTACAATCGATTATCTTGCAATCATCTCCTGGTGCAATGGTTCAAATCGACTTCTGGTGCAAATAAAAGCCTTTTGTATCAGGATAGCATTTATTGAAATTCCTCTATGTTATGTGACGTTAACAAACAGCAAAACTGTACTTTCTCCATCAGTCGAATATAGAGTTACCGCTGAGTAAGCCATTTGCTCAA